TTCTAAGGTTATGCATGACACTTTTTTAAGTAACTGAGAAACATGGGAGATGAAATGGAGAAGTAGAAATTAAACTAATTGGAACAAAGCAATGCATAATACATGTGAAGCATCGATGAAGACAAATAATGATGATATTACAGGAAAGAGCCCTCATCCACCGGTGATTGAACATGGAAAAAAGTTTTTCAGGACGCGTGTCTGTGGAAACCACACGGTGGGCCCCAAGCAAAATTAACCATATCTATTTAACAAATCTGTCCCGTGATTCTCTCCCCATCTCTATTTCTCCATTCGCTTTCTCACGCTTCCTCTCCTGAGCAGCCTGCTGGAGCTCGTGCGCAGCCTACAGTTCGCGTGGATGGCGAGCGACCATCAAAGGTCATGCGAGGCTGCATGCATGGCGGGGTTATTGCACCAGCCATTGCGCGTGCGGGTGTGGCGAGGAGACCGCGGCGTCAAGCCAGCGCAACGGGGAGCGCATGTGGCAGATATCTTGCGGCATTGTGGAGCTTGAAGTGGATTCGTGCTCCCTCCGGAAGGCTAGAATCCTATATCTTCTGATCCGATGGCAACGGAGGATCTAGGCATGGCGCATGGACGCTGCTAGTTGCAACAGTGGGAAGGTGGAGCCGCAGAGGTGAATGAATAGATGAGGCGGAAGAGGAGAATTTAAAGGAAGCTGATGGGGAAGAGAAACGATTGCTATTGCAATCTGTAGTGGTGAACGGGCGCCTCGAATGCTCCATTCGGTGGGTGTCTCCATGTGGGATGTGATGATGGATGGAAGTTTCTCTCAGGGCCTGTTTAGATCCCTTTCAGTTTGGAAAATGGACATTGTAGCACTTTCGTTTGTGTTTGGCAAAAGTTGTCCAATTATGGATTATTTAGGCTTAAAAGATTCGTCTCGCCAATTACGGGCAAACTGTGCAATTAGTTATTCTTTTTACCTACGTTTAATGCTCCATGCATGTGTCGCAAGATTCGATGTGACGGAGAATCTTGGAAAATTTTGGATTTTGGGTGGGATCTAAACAGGGCCTCAATCTATTAAAACTGCGAATGGGACTGTTAAGGCCAACCGTGATGTAGTGCTGCTGTTTGGTTAGTGGATGACGTGGATAGCTCTGGTGTTAGATAAAACCTTTAATGGGATTTTGCTTTATAAGAGATAAAGATGTGCCTTACACTGTAAAAAAGCCAGCCTAAATATAGAAATCCAATCTTAGGTGATGAATGGTCGGTGTCTTGCAGAACAGGTACAGTGGTTGCGCCTCTCTCACTCCCTGCTCCCGTGCAGATGCAGTGGAGGAGGAATCGGTGTCCGAGCCTTTCACCATCTCTGATCTGGCCTTTGCTTGCCCTATCCGGTCGAGGACGCCCGTGCCGCCGCTGCCACTTCCTTTGTTGTGGAGATGGGGAAGGAGAGTGAGTGAGCCAGATGGGGAACGCAAGTAAGGGGCTCGTCCTAAGTACAAGCTGGTCCAACCAGACTAGGTGCTGCCTCCGCGCCACGGACAAGGGCAAAATGGTCATCTTTCCACCTTCCTCTCTCCTTAACTGATAGAAATAAATAAAATAATGGGCGCGATGCCTTATAGCAAAATTGTAAGCAACCAAAGTATCTTTCAGCAAATAGCTTCACTTTTGGTGTCCGCTAGCGAACGAGCAAAATTTGCCTTTAATATTTTGATATAATTTCTAGAGTGGTCTACATCTCTATGACCTAACAATCCATCATGCTTGCTCCACTACATATATGTATGGTTATTATAGAAATCAAGGTAACTTTGGATTTGGTATGACTTGTACTTAATTATGTTATACTATGCGTTTGGTTTAAGAAATGAGTTATGAAGTGTTTAGTTTTAGCATTGCCATGTGCAGCCAAAGTCCAGCCAAATTTTGGCAATCAAATCAGCTGCCCAAAATTTGACCGCACATGGGCCACAAAATCAACTGGACTTTGTTCGTGCAAGCTCGGCCGAGCCAAAATACGGGCTTGATCCAAATGTTGCTGGTTCCCTCAGTCAACGACCAAATTTTGGTCTGGTAGGCATCGACTGACATCCAAACAACCCGTTAGTCCATCATCATGTTACTCCCTGTTCACTTGAACTTATCAGCTCGGCTTTTCAGCTATGATAGTGTTTTTCTCTCACAGCAAAACAACATCAGCCGCAAAAACCATTAGCTGAATAACTCATAACTTTATGTTTTCTTACAGGAGTAGAACGGATTTATCCATCATCATCTTATTTCTCATAGCATCTCCAGCAGAGCCCCTGTTTAAGTTATCATTCTACTTATGAGGACTAAAAGTAAAAAAACTCACTCTAGCAGGCCCTGCTAAAGCCCTCAGATATGAGAGGCCTCTCAAATCACCCCTCCAGACCTCAGCCTGGCGGGCTAGGCAAGGCCCTCAAATCACTGTGGCCTTCTCTTTCGTCGCGCCCTATTTCCCCTAGCGCGCGAAGCCCCACGTGTGCCGCCAATTTTTCCCTGCGCCCTCCTTCCCCTCCCGCCCGCAACGAGACCGGCGCTCCCATTCCCGCGCTGTGCCCGGAAGGAGCAGCAACAACAGCGGTATGTGCTCCCCACCTCCTCACAGTGAATATGTGAATGATTCTGTATCCGATTTGAATGCTGTTGCGTGTGAATTTGAGGCCACAATGAATATGTGAATGTTTTTTATTCCTATTTCTCAACTTATGAAATGTTCGATTGAAGCACTTGTGTGAATTATTTTGGATCCTAGTATGCTCATGCTGTAGCAGTAGTAGCAGCACATATAATTTAGTAGTAGTTCCCTTGCCTGTTGCCGTGACGAGATCCTTTTAGCATCTGATAGCCTCCCGGGTGTCAGATGAAGTTTCTGAATGCGACTAGTAAACTGTACTGTACTGTATATGTGATTCAAATTGATATGTATATGTGCTGGGGTTTTTTGCACAGTTTGGAATATGTCGCAGGGAGGTAATTGGTCACGGATGATGTCCGACAATGTTGACGTTGATGACATTGCAATTTTACCCATTGGTACCCAGCCTAGTCAACCTAGTTCTCCAAAGAGGAGGCCAATCCGTGCTGCCAACTACACTCCAGGTGAAGATCTCCAATTATGTGAATCATGGGAGAACATGAGTTTGGATCCAATCACTGGAAATGAGCAACCTAGCAAAGCGTATTGGAAGCGTATTCATGATAACTTTCATGCCAACAAAAAAAATTGTGTATGCTAGGAATGCAAATTCTTTAGAGCATAGGTGGGGGATAATTCACAAGGAATGCCAGAAGTTTCAAGGCTTATTTGAGGAGGTTGAGCGCCGCCATCCTAGTGGTGTGCCCTACGAGGAACATGTAAGCATTGTTTTTATTTAGATGTTGCGTCATTTATTTACTAATTTTTGCTAACACATGTCTTCCATTTCAATTGCTAGAAGCTCAAACTGCATATATAGACAAAGATCCAAAGAAGAAGGGTTTCCTTTCCTCCATTGTTTGTTGAAGACCAGACATTGCGAGAAGTTCACGCCCCCAGTCAGCAACAAAAGGCCTAGAAGAAGTGATTTACCACCAGCAGCAGTGGATGTGTTTGATGTAGAAGATGATGAGAGTAGAAAGAGCCAAACCCCTGACTCTTCCATGCTTAGAAGCAAAAGGCCTATGGGGGAGGAAGCAAGCAAAGGAGAAGCTGAAGAAAGGAGGAGAACCACCGAATTACAAGTTGATAGAGAAAATTCTTACAGAGAAAGAGAAAGATAGAGAGGACAGGCAGGAGAGTAAGGTGCTGCATGAGTGCAAATTATCACTTGAAGAGCGCAAGATTGCAAATGAGAAGAAGAAGACGCTATGGGAGCAAGAACAAAAGGTTATGTTTTGTGACCTAGACATATTGGACCCCTCCCAAAAGACATATGTGATAGCAATGAGGGCTCAGATTGCAGCTGAAAAGATGGCAGCGTTTAACAACGCTTTCGGTGGTAGCAGTGGAGGACATGAAGCTAGTGGCAGAGGAGAAATTTGATATTCATCGTTATGTTATGTTTTGGTTTAGGACTATGTGTCTTTTTATTTGATAATGTTGCCGTGAACTATTACTATGTGTCTTGATTGATCGGATGTCGTCAAATTTGGACCAAATTTATGTTTGAATTTAGATTTGAATATTCATATTTTCAATCATATTTTTAAGTATGGTGCTTTAGAGTTGTAGTTTAAATAAATTATTATATAGTGTGATGTTCTCAAATACACACATATATATATATACACACACATAAACACACACACTAGCCTGTAGGTGGCTAAAAAATAATTTATTCTTTAGCAACTTTGAGTTATGTTAATTACTATATTAATTTACGAGATTATAGTAACTCTTTACTAATTGGTTTACTATAACGTTATTGTAAATATCTCATGTGTTATACTAACTCAACTATCGTAAATATGTATTAACATTATCGTAAATTAGTATATAAAATTATCGTAAATGGAGGTGGCTACAGAATAACTTATTTTTGTAGCTGGCTATTGAATATATATATAGTGCATGAAAAAATAGAAGCAATTGAGAAGTAGCAGCCCTGTTTTGGGGCTACTGTTGGAGTTCAGTCCAGAAAACATGGCCCTCAAAAGTAGGGCCCTGTTTTGAAGGTTATTGCTGGAGTTGCTCTCACGAGCTAATAATTAGTACGTATTAGTATAAGAATGTAATTTGATGAATAAAATTATAATGTCTCACTACATCTAAAATGGTTTGATTCCTCTGTACAGAGTCTACTGTTTAATCGCTTGATGATACAGTTGTTACCCTAAACCCTAAACCATACTGTCACTGTGCTCGTCAACACCTCGCCAAACCCTAGACTAACCTGATTCCGCCCCCTAGCAACAAATCCGTATCTCCAGTCCGGCGACGGCAGTATCCGAGCTCGCACTCCCGCACCCATCCGCCTCACTGTCACCGCACCTCAATCACACGTGCGCCACCCGCGATGACGCCGGCGACGGCGATCTCCGGCTCCAGCGGCCACCTCGTCGTCTCCTCCCCCCGCCTCAGGCAGCCGCTCACGCTCCCTCCGCGCACCGCTCGCCCAATCGCCGCCGCCGCCGCCGCCGCGTCGCCGGTGGCCCGCCGCGGGGTCTCGGTCGCCGCCGTGTCCAGCCCCGCTGTGTCCGCCGCCACGGGGAAGGATGGTTAGTTATTCTAACGCCGCATTGAAGCACTCTGATTCGTTGCTGTTGGGGCTTGCTGGTATCGAGGGTTCTGCTGAGGGGTATGGCTGTTGATCTGTGCTCTCGGTGTGGTTTTGGGATTCGATGATGACTTAGTAGAAGTAACAATGCTGTGAGATGCGATAAACTATAAGCTGAGCTGCGATGGTTGGTTGATTTCGTTGATTTGGGACAGTCAAATGTGATCAAGTCCTTTTGTTTGTAGCTAACTCTGGGTGCTCATCGGGGTGTATAGGTTGCCAGTACCTCTTAAAAGTCAGCTGTATTTTCCTCTTTGAACTAGAAAAGTTGCCTATGCCAATTGCCAAATTTCAGTCTCGTTTCTGTAATTCTGTTCTGGTGTAGCCACTAGACCTATTAGGAACACTTATTTTGAGTGAGAGATACATATGTCATATGTGAATTACTAAACCTTTCATTTTTCTTGAATTTCAAATTTATTAGCACTTATGAATTCTGCATTGTGTAATTTGATTTTCTTAGCATCACCATTGAGCTATTCCTGCTATTTGATGTGTAGAACATCAAATGCACTCAATTCTGACTTTTATTTAATTCTGAATGTGATCCTCTCTGACTCTCATACCAATATATGCACTCAAATGTTTTAGGCATCGATGTGAGCTTTCATTCTATAGGAAGTATTGTTTCATGCTTAGCACACTTTCTTTCTAACTCTAGCAATTTCTTGCAGCCAAACAGGCTCCTAAGGATTTCCTTCATATCAATGATTTTGACAAGGATACAATAATGGGTATCCTTAATCGAGCGATCGAGGTTAAGGCAGCGATAAAGTCTGGAGACAGGAGCTTCCAACCGTTCCAAGGGAAATCAATGGCGATGATTTTTGCCAAGCCATCAATGAGGACCCGTGTTTCATTTGAGACGGGATTCTTCTTACTTGGTGGGCATGCTATTTATTTGGGTCCAGATGATATCCAGATGGGCAAGCGTGAGGAGACTCGTGATGTTGCTCGAGTACTTTCTGGCTATAATGACATCATTATGGCTAGGGTCTTTGCTCACCAGGTATGGTCATGAGTTGCATGATTAAGATTTCCTTTTTGTGGTATTTTTACCAACATGATCATTTCTTTTTACATATTTGATCTGTCTTCTCCATGCTGCTTAAGCACAACAATTAGATATCTACCTCAAAACAACAAGCACTATAGTCGTCAGTTAAAGTAAAATTTTGTCAGTTGGAAGTATATTAATATGAAACACCAACTTCGATTTAGTATAGATTTAACTGGAACGGTAAGTTTGTTTAATTCTAATAATATAAGAACCAACATGTGTCCTGGATGTATATGGATGCATGGTGGTTTTGAACTGATATCATTATCTTGGCAGTTCTCTTCTGTGGTTTCTTTGTCTGTTTGTGTCCTTTGATAATATATCAAACTTGTTCCGTCTGGATGTAAACAAATAATTGATGTTTTGGGTTGATTTTAGTTGTCTTTGTTACTCAGATACTTTATCTGCATAATTTGCCGTTGTCGTTTGTCCTTCTTGTATTGATCTTAGGTAGTTCCACTCGATGCTGATTCCTTTTTGTTTCCATCCAAGCACTATCTCCTAACTTCTCATATGGTTTTGGCAGGATATTCTGGACTTGGCAAAATATGCACCTGTACCTGTCATAAATGGTCTCACCGACTATAACCATCCATGCCAGATAATGGCTGATGCACTTACTATGCTTGAGCACATTGGTCGTATTGAAAACACTAAGGTAGATCATCATACCACGGAAGTAATTGCATGTGCTCTATGTGTCTAATTTTGAGCTGGGTTGTGACCAATGGTCTTCTTCAATTGCTATGTAGGTTGTCTATGTTGGAGATGGGAACAACATTGTGCACTCATGGCTTCTATTGGCTGCTGTACTTCCTTTTCACTTTGTATGTGCTTGTCCCAAGGGATTTGAGCCTGATGCGAAGACTGTGGAGATCGCCAGGAGTGCTGGAATCAGTAAGATTGAAATAACAAACGATCCCAGGGAAGCAGTTAAGGGAGCAAATGTTGTGTATACAGATGTTTGGGCCAGCATGGGCCAAAAGGAAGAAGCTGATTATAGAAAGCAGAAGTTCCAGGGATTCACGGTTTGTCTTTTTTTTTTCCACACTTTCTAGAATCTGTGTCTCTTACTGGACGCCAAGTACATATACTTTGCATATGCCCATGAGGTGATTGAGTTAAAACTAGAGAAATAATCATTTATTTTCTGACCTTCATATGATTCAAGATACTAGGTCTTTATCTCCATCATAATTGTGGTATTCAAGTGACAGTGAAACTCTGTTTCTCAGTAATGATAGCTTACATTGTTGTCCATCAGCTAAAACTTCTGTTTTTTACCCTATATTGCAGGTGGATGAAGCCCTGATGGAGATTGCTGGGCCACAGGCCTACCTTATGCACTGTTTGCCCGCAGAGAGAGGAGTGGAGGTGACAGACGGTGCCATCGAGGCTCCCAACTCAATCGTGTTCCCCCAGGCTGAGAACAGAATGCACGCTCAGAATGCCATCATGCTTCACGTGCTCGGTGCTTAACTCTCCTATTGCACAGCAGTGTCACACTTTTCTTAAATTCTTAGGCATTGCTGAGGGATTGAGGCTGTTTTGGCTTTAGGGCATATATGAGAGCTTGATTCAGACGAACTGTTTAGTAACGTGATAGCTGTTCTTCAGGGTGGGAGTTTGTTGTACTGTAAAAGTTTGGTAATAAAAAGTAAACTTCTGTGCTAGTTTCGTTTGCAAGTCATATCAGTTTTAAGGGCACGTTTGGTTGAGACCCTGGATCAGTTTTGCCGGGCTCCATCCTTGTCTGTACCACTGCACCCTGCCTTTGCTTTTGCTGCATCCGGTTGGAGTCCTGTAAAGTTTCTTGTAAAAAGAGCGGGCAATCCTGCGTCCTGCCATCCTCAGGCGGGCCATCAAGGTTCAGTTTGCTTGCTACCCTGCCATCCAGGCCTGGGCAGCTGCTACTAAACAGAAACACGCAGAACTCAACCAAACGGCTTATTTCTGCGATGGCTCTGGCTAGTAGGCACAAGCCATGACTGAACTGAAGCAGTTTCTCGCCAACTAATAGCTATATTCGGCGCAAGCAAAAGTTATGCCAAAGAGTGCCTCATAACAGTAATGCTTCAGATGAGTCCTAGGCATCTCTTGAACTCACACCAAAAGATAAGACATACTAAGTTCAAGGTAAATAGGGTGCATCTCATAATAAGCAGAGTTTCGCGACATATGCTTCAACTGCCTCTCGTACTCGAACCGTAACTGCCTCTCATACTCGCACCGTGTCGTGACTTGCCGGTTGCGGCGTTGCCACGGATACCGCCACCTCGCTAGGGAGTGCAGGTGGTCCAAGTCGGCGCCAAAGGGTGGTGGCCAGTCGGCGCCAAAGGGTGGTGGCCTGCCTCGTCGCTTGGCTCGTGCCGAGAACCCAACGGCCTCCCAGCATGCTCCCCTCGGCACCTCGGATGTGACCGTGCAGGGTGCCGTGGGTGGCGCTGACGATATCCGTCCAAGCCGGAGACGATGACGCCGGCGGCGCCGGGGTGAGCCGGCGCCGGACATCAGGATGGGCGTGCCTGCCGACGATGCCACTGCTTCGACTGACGCACGCCGCTTCCTCGAGTCAGATCCGCTGGTGGAGGCGTTGTGTGAGGGCGCAGGACCCGATGCTGGACGAGTTTGCCGCCTCCCTTGTCGTGAGCCCGATAGGAGGCCACATCAGCACCTGGGTTGCTGCAGGCTATGCAGCCGCCTCTCAGGAGGTTCAAGCTTCGCTGGTGGACATCAGTTCTCCGATGACGGCTCCTCAGTGCACGACGGACCCGCCTCTGTCGTCGCCTATGCAGGGCACGCTCCACAGAGGGGACAGCCCGTTGTCACGGGCGCCGAGGCGCCAGGGGAGATGCCACACCCGATCCTTCTACACCGACAAAGGACGGATAACTGGATAGCCAAGCCACGTCCGACCCCAGCGATGCGACGCCCATGCCGCGCGAGGCCGCGCGGCACCTCGCAAGGTTTACCGAGGAGCTGCAGCTCAAGCGAAGGTCGCTCTTACTCGCCACTCCACCAAGGCAGAAGGCGGCAACCAAGAGGCCCCTGCCAATCAGAACAGGCGGATTGCCGCTCAGCCACTGGCGCACATACCGACCTCCAAGCGGGGCGGGATACTCCTCATGCAGAGGATGGGCATTGTGCCGCCGATGGCTCCAGTTTCATCTGCGTCCAAGGGAACATACGACGTCATATTCAGAGGAAACTTGACGCCGAGCCACGTGACAGCTCTAGACGAGCTCTTCCCAACGACCATCAATAGGGCTGGTAGAAGAACGCTCTTCTTGGATGGCGGAGTAGGATCGCGCAGCCAACAGCGGAGACGCCCAGCTCTGTAGGTGGTTGTGGTGCTCTTAGTTCGGTTGTTTACCTTTTATGTAATATCAAAGTTTGATAGTCTGCTAGGTAGGTCCAGTCTTAGCTATAAGACCACCTAACACGCTCATTAGAAGCGTGTCGTTACGGTTAAACTTTTCTACTTAATTACAATGATACGCAAATCTTTTGTGTATTCGAGAAAAAAAAGTTCAGCAAATGGGAATTTATGTAACAGTAATCCAGGCATCCAGCAATCGTTCTGTCAAAGTGCTGGTTTGACTTGACCACAAAGATTTCAGGGCCAAGTGCCTTGATTTGACATGGCATATAATGGAAATAAAGGCACTGCTGATTGTTTCAACATGAACAGAAGGTAATATCCCTTGGTCATGATTCCAGTTCGTGCGTGTTAACATATGTCGTACTAGGGTACTCTCGATGAGCTGTTGAGAAAATGATGTAGCATCCACAATCAAGCAGCTGGAGATCACTTCCTCAGGCTTTCAATAATGTATGAGCCATATAGGTCCCTGCAGTATAACATCCAAACTGATTTAGTGAGCTCTGTTTTGATAACACACAAATTATTGTCCTGTATAGAATAGTATCAAAGCAAGCTAGTATAGAGTAGTAACATATATGCCAGAGTATGTTTTAGAAAACTCACATCGAGTACTTGATTGCGTTGATGGCATCTTTCGCTGGGAGGAACTCATTGACTGCAACCTCTTTGTTTTCATTCTTTTTATCTGTAAACACGGCAGAAATATAACGATTGGACTCTAGTTACTGCATTTGATGATCTGTAGTGTAACACTAGGGACAAGCTGTGGATACAGTTTAAGAACATACAATCTTCAAAAAAGCGGCGGATCTCTTGAAGGCGATGTGGGGGGAGGTCCGTGATGTCCTTGTAGTGACGGAATTCAGGGTCATCAGCACAGACTGCTATAATCTTATCATCTTTCTCGCCCTAGTAATGTTGAACAATGATTAAATAAGATGCAAAAATTCAGCCTTGGGGTAGAACTAATTTACAAGGGGAACTGTTATATTCTATAGAAAGGTCTTATGGTGGCTTGGTCAAAACTGACACATCAGGTGATATCAAAATTACATGGAAGAACACAGCGCAATAGCCCATAGCCAAAGGTAAAACAGAGCAAACACTATGCGATCAGGTGATGGAGAGACTAGACCTGATCGATCATAGGCATGAGCCCAATAGCACGAGCTCGCAGGTAACACCCAGGGACAACTTGTTCCTTCCAGAAAAAGAGCACACAATGTTAGAGTAAAGCTGATAATGGAAGGCTATCGAAACGCTACATACATTAAATACCTGCATCAGTATGAGGACGTCCATGGGGTCGCTATCCTCACAGAGTGTGCGTGGAATGAAACCATAGTTATGTGGGTAAACAACAGAGGAATAAAGGACACGGTCCACCTGTAACAAGTAATCTCCGATTACCTACTGTCAATATGAAAAAACAAGATGTAGCAAGCAAGCACACCTTAATCCTAGGTGTTACTAACGGTCACAGAAATATTGTTAATAACACATTATTAAGACATGTCCTTTTTATTCCTTTGATTTGAAATAAAGATTGCATTCTGTATGGAGCAGTGCCAATTGCCTCTTGGCTTAGGCACACACATCAACTAGATTTCAGCAATGCTGTTCCCTATCCAATAGGGAGTATATGGTGCATATAATTACTAAGTGATTTGAAATTAAGAAATACCGAAACAAAACCAATGTGCTGAACATGAAATAGGACCTCACCTTGATCAGACCAGATGCCTTGTCCAACTCATACTTAACCTTGCTGCCTCTAGGAATCTCAACCACCTGACAATTGAAAAAAAAAATGCGCATGTAAACTTACTTTATAGGAATCAAGCAAGTACATGATAAGATAGGTTTGAGATATGCTTTATTTCAGCATCACAGCTAAAGACAGGTAAATAAAGGAGTCCTGGCTGCAAGAAATAATATCTAGTATCTACTAGACGACTAGTGAAGGGCGGGCCTGGTGCAAGCGGTAGAGTCTTACCGCCTGTGACTGGAAGGTCCCGGGTTCGAGTCGCGGTCTCCCCGCATTGCACAGGCGAGGGTAAGGCTTGCCACTAACACCCTTCCCCAGACCCCGCACAGAGTGGGAGATCTCTGCACTGGGTACGCCCTTTTTTTACTAGACGACTAGTATGTGTATAGCTGGTTTATACAAAACCATTGATTGGGAGTACTATACCCAAATAATACAACTTGAAACATCATGTATCCGTAATACAAGACAATTTGAGACATGTTTGTACCACTACATCATATATTCATATCACAGCCAAAATGATGTGCAAATTCAAAAATCCTGAGGATGTTGTCCCACAAGTTTCAATAGACCTAATGTATGTAGGGAGGTTATAAAATGTGGAGTCCACAACTGCTAACCAGGCAAGTTTAATGGAAGTATGAAGATAAAAGCTTTAAATTGCTATCCATCAGTAAGATCAGAATTCAGAACACCAACCATATTTGTAAATTTACTAGTAAACTGTAAACTTACACAATTGAACACTTCAGGAGCCCCTGGTCCTGCATTTGAAAGTGTACACGGTAAGGCAAATACAAAACAACAAATCACTTATAGAGCAGAGCACAACACTAGTGCATTTTGATATTCTTACACCATAAGGGAATCAGGGAATGGAAAGGTGACAATATCATAGTCTATGAAACAAGCATAGCAAAATGATAGGAGTATATCCTTGGTGAGGGAAGAAGTGTTTAGTACCTATCTCCAAATCATGCCATGGGTGAGCAGCAACAAGTTTCTGGGACATGGAAGAAAGGATACGTTCATTGAGAACACCAGGTCCAGCCATGGCTATGATTTAAAACAATTTCATTAATTCAGGAATTCTATAATTCAAGGACCATAAGAGGCAAGTTAAATAGTTTTCGCCACTTTATAGAGTATGTGCTCAAACAATATAGGTAATCAAATCAAATAATAACGGATCTAATCGGTTCAGATTGCTGCTGCAGCTGCAGCTGCAAAGGACCAGCCAGCCAGCAGCAATAGCAAAGTGAACTGGAAGCGGCAAAGCTGCAACTGCAGCCGGAAGTAGCAGTTCCGATCACGCCGAACCTCGTTGTCCTTTGTGTATATGCAACTTTACCCATCTCAACTATTCGGTCTAGCTCACCGTCCCTGATCTCAGCATACTTGTACCCAAATGACACAATTCCCCAATTTTCAGAAGAAGGATCGCTTCAATCTGTATTGCCTGCTTAAGATCAACATGCAATGCCTAAGTAGACTTTAGCAACCAATTTACACAATTGTACACCAAAAATACTAGCACCATATCCATGGCCTCACGGTCACGGCTAAGTGACTAATAACTGAACAAAGAAGTTCTTGGTTTCTCGCTCTGTTGTCATGCCGAGGGAGCAAAAAAAAATTCTAATCAGAAACTGATTAAATTTTGCAGCCATGGACAGTCAACAAATTGGGAACGCAGAAAAGTTCTTTCTTCTGAGTAACTTCAAAGCCACACAGAAGCGGAAAAAAGAACACACGAGGGCGCTTAGGGCAGGCAAGAGACGAAGAAAATGCTATCGTACAGCACGACGCCCCCAAGAAACCAACGCCATCAGAAGGTGAGAAGCACGAGCAAGCGACGGATCGGAGGGAAACAGGAGGGGCCCCTAGCCACTCACCGGAGTCGATCGGGAGGTCCCGTCCCTCCCTTCCCTGCCCTGGTGGCGAAAGCGAGAAGAGGCGACAGGCGAGTGCGAGGTGGCGGAGCGACGGCCTCGAGTTCGCTGCTGCTGTCCAGCGCTCCGGGCTGGCTGGCTGGCTCGAATCAATGTGATATTTTCCGGGCTTCTGGCGGCAGCATAGGACTTCGCTTTTTGGCGACGGGTGGGCCCTGGCGTCCCCTAGACTCCCTGTTCCCAGGCCGTCCGATGGCCGCGCGACGGGTACGTGGGCGGTGCCGATCGCGCCACGCGAGGGATAACGCTTCAGTGGAAGCAGGGTGGAGTGGAAGCTGAGGTGGGGAGGGGAGGCGCGCGCACCGGCACCGCATCTGATTCCCGTCCCACGCCACGCCGGGAAAGGAATATACTTGGGATTGGGAATCGGGCGCTCGACGTGGGTAGACCTCGTTCACCGCGGGCGTGGACCGGAGACGCCGACGTCCGTCCGTACAGGTACAATCGCGGGTTCCATTCCGGGGCTTGGAGCCTTCTAGGCGGGGCCCGGGCGAGCTGCCTCCAACTGGTCCCACCCCACACAGAACTGGCACGCCACACATGTCGGCTAGTGGCCGCCTCACCACACGGATAAGCCCATAAGGCCGTCAGGCCCGTAGCAGCCCAGCAAAAAGCGTGGCGTGCCGCGTGCTGCATTTGTCGGGCGGCCCATCCATGTACTTCTACTACTTCCAATCAAAAGGTTATTTATACGTCTGCTTCCATACTTTTGCAACAAGATATTGCCACACAGAAGGTATAGCCGTATAGACATTTATTCTGCTGGACACAGAGTAGCAGCATATGTACCATAGAACGAGAAAAAAGATGAACCATAACAGTTGACACATAAGGTGAATATAAAGCAGGTAACCAGTAACCACCACCACAAACAGGATTTCGACACGGCCGAAGCACGAGGACATGCTCTATCAATTCTCACGGCGCCACCTTAGGAATCTTGGGCTCATGTGACAGGCTTTTCCGGTGGATGCTCATGAACTTGGCAACAAATTCTGAACAAGGGAAAAAGATACTTCAGGGAATTCCAGTGATTGGCAAAGCCAGTGGAAGACGGCACATAAATGCACTGACAATATGCCTTTCCCGATAGCAACTCAAATGAAATGTAGGTTCAAAAGCGAGTCTAATCACTAGCCACCAACCAATAATATACCCCGTGACAGGTGCCCGAAATACAAAAGCAACTTTCTAGTACTACAAGCACTAGTTATTGGAATGCAGGAAAAGAAATTACCTTCCAATTTAAGCAGAGCACTTGCACCAACAGGCAACCTCTTATCCTGAAATTCATTGTTCTCTTATATTGTTATAAAATAGCTCACCAGGGAAGTGCATGCTAAACTGAATGTACGAAAACCAAACTCACATAGTAGGCATGCCAATAATAGACTTCTCTCTTCACGCTAGTCTGAATTCCCTTCAGGAAGAGTTCTACGAGCTTCTGCAAGAGATTCGAGAATGAAGTTCATATGCATAGTTATCTCTGTTGAGATAATAGTATCCCTGAAGAACAAAATAAATAAATAAAGAATAACAATAATTTACCTGGAGTAACAACAATACAATAATAATATCTAGTTTGCATAATTTACCTGGAGTATTAGTTTAGGAGGTACAAATTCCACCAAGAGCTTTTGGAGCTTGCCTCGTGCCAGAAATAACCTACACAATTTTTTTCCATCTGTTATGCAAATGGACTAGTAGGATGCAATCACACAAACTGTCGCACATAATGGCAGATAATAAGTCACCAAACAGTATATTCATCGTAGCCTCCCAATCAACAAAAGGATAATATGAACATTCAACAGTTAAAATTCTTCTAATTCCACAGTCGGACCTTTTAGGAGCAAGATCATCCAAAATTTCTGCTGCAAGTTCCTCCAGAACATCCTCCCATCCTAGTGGTATAGCTTGTCCATCGATGAAGGGATAACTGGGTAAATTGAAAGGGAAACAAAAACAAAAATCAGATACTAGTGAAATACGATATAGATTGATAGGAAATTATGAACTTTTCATGCTAGAGGAACACTACGATCGTACTTGTTGGCTTTACATGCCTCCAAAGCCAATATAGCCTCCCTCAAGTTCTTCCTGGATTGATTTGCAATGGTAGTAGCAAAACTTGTAGGAAGATCAAAATTCTCTTTTTTTGATATATAGGTAAGGATATCTACCACCTGACAGAAATATTAAAATGTTAATAAGTGGTTCTAATTTACATGCAATGCCTAAGGCGCTTTGTTCAATGGTGAGAATATGGACACAACCTTTCAGTTGGATGACTCTTTTGATGACACCAATAGGCGCTTTGTGCGGAGAATCCAAGAATCTGAGGTCAGAGAGGCGTTGAAAAGGATGAAAGGAGGTAAGGCGATGGGACCGGATGGTATCCCAATCGAGGTGTGGAGATGCCATTTATCTAGTATGGTTGACCAAGTTGTTCAACCATATTTTTCGATCAAACAAGATGCCCGATGAGTGGGAGGAGAAGTATATTGGTACTGATCTACAAGAATAAAGGGATATTCAAAGTTGTACAAATTACCGGGAATTAAGTTGATGAGCCATACTATGAAGCTATGGGAGAGATGTCTTATCGCTTGAGAGCAATAACGCTGGTCTCTATGAACCAATTTGATTTCATGCCGGGAAGTCAATCATGGAAGCCATTTTCTTAATAAGACAAGTTATGGAGCGGTATAGGGAGAAGAAGAAGGATACACATGGTTTTTATTGACTTGGAGAAGGCTTATGATAAAATACCAAGGAATGTTATGTGGTGGGCTTTGGACAAACATAAAGTCCCAACCTGCCATTTTACAACAATGTTGTGACTAGAGTTCAACAAGTGATGGAAACGGATGACTTCCCGATTAGGATAGGACTACATCAAGTCCTTTGAGCCCTTATTTGTTTGCTTTAGTGATGGATGAGGTCACAAGGGACATACAAGGGGACATCCTTGGTGTATGCTTTTCATGGACGATGTAAAAGAAGTTGATGAAAGCCGGACGACAGAGTGAATCGTAACTGGAGTTATGAATGGAGACTTTGGAGTCCAAAGGTTTTAGACTTAGTAGAACTAAACCGAGTATATGAGATGTGACTTGGTACTACTACTCGGGAGGAGGAAGATGTTAGTTTGGAAGGTCAAGTAGTGCCTAGGATGGATACCTTCGATATTTAGGATCAATGCTACAGAGGGACTAGAGATATTGATGAAGATGTTAGCCATAGAATCAAAGCAGTGGTGGATGAAGTGGCGGCAAGCGCCTGGTGTCCTATGTGACAAAAGGGTACCACAGAAGCTAAAAAGGCAAGTTTTATAGGGACGGCGATTAGACCTGCTATCACGAAAAGACGACATATTCAAATGCTAAGTGTCGCGGAAATGCGTATGTTGCGTTGGATTTGCGGGCATACAAGAAGGGATCGAGTTCGAACGATGATATACGTGAGAGATTAGGGGTAGCGCCAATTGAAGAAAAGCTTGTCCAACACCGGTTGAGATGGTTTGGACATGTGCAACGGAGACCTTCGGATGCATGCCAGGTAGTAGTGGAATCCTAAGTCGGGATAGTAACGTGAAAGAGAGGCAGAGGAAGACCGAAGTTGACTTGGGTAGAGGCAATAAAAGGAGACTTGAAAGGATGGAATATACCCAAAGACTTAGCCTTAGATAGGAATGCTTGCTATTCAGAGAACCTTGAATCGTTGGGTTTCAACTCTAGCCTACCCCAACTTGTTTGGGACTTAAAGGCTTTGTTGTTGTTGTTGTTGTTGTTGTTGTTGTAAGTGGTTCTAAACTATTAAGAAAATATTTATGTTCAATGCCATTTATCTAGAATAAGTTTTCCCATGTCAAATGAAAGTAACATACTAATAAAGCTGAATAATTATCGCATGTCTTATGAATTTCAGATTTATAGTTGATCAAATCTAACATATAACTTTTCCTAACTTAATTGAGCGGTAGAGCTCCTGCCATTTCCATCAAAAAAAAATCTAACATATAAGTCCTGGCTTATTACTAAAATGAAAACTCACCTCACGTGTACTGGGCACACCAATTGAAATAATCTTGCAACTCTTTATAGAATCTAGGAGATTAGATTCATCTTGGCAAGTCATTATTATCTTGCATGCATCAGAGGAGGAATCGATTATCCATTTTATCAGACGCTGGTTATTTTCGTTGACTTTATCAACATCATAGAGAACAATTACTGGAACAAAGAATCATGTTATTAATGATTCAAATGAAATGGCATGTCAATGAACAATGTTGCAGAACTGCAGAGAGTGAATTATACCTTTAAAGCTCTTTCTCACAATTGGCTCAGTGATTTTACACTTATCCGACATTTCATTTGCTAGAGTCATCAAAGCATATCTAGCGTTCTTGGATTGAAACCTCATGTGGAGTTCCACATGGTGACTGCTGGATGAAACTGGGACGAGAATAGGCACAGATACGGACCCCTGCAGCATCATGGAAACCTTTGCTCACTTGAACTCAAGAAACATAACTACTTTATGTCATGCTCTTTTTAAAAGATTAATGTTGACTGGTAAGAATCAATGGAAAAACTACAGAAACAATTTCCCGTGTCAACTATTGGTACATTGTCCTAAAAGTAAAAGGTAGCGATAAGCATTAATGACAGAACAGACCTGGCCATTGCAGCTCTTCAAATAGTGAGAGACCTGGAAAAGTCGAAACACTTGATGAAATCTGTGCTGAGTATATATATTAACAGAAATTTTCATATTTGGTATTTAAGTTTGTACATTCAGAGAGGAATCGCCAAAAATTTCGGTGAGGACAGCTCTGCACAAAGATCTCTTTCCTGATCCCGGAGGACCTTTGAAAATAATATGTGGGCAAAATTCCATGGAGACCTGTCACAACAGAATACTTAATGATTAGAAGACAAGAGCACCAACTTTGAACACTATGATAAAAATGGCAGGTAGGACAAACCTAAACAATTTAACTCATTGTGCCGTGAAAATGCCAGAAACAGACGATAAATACTTTGTTAAAGCAAGGCAACAACTATAAGTTTATAATCATTGTTCGCCTGATAGCCTAAAAGGCTGTTTTCCCCTATTTAATGGACCTTTTACAACATGATCGACCACCATTTACTGTTTAAACAGCAAAGGGTGACTGACTGTCTACTGTTTAGCGTTTATGAAAACACAGTTCATAATAGATAAAACACACTTAGCTAGGGAAGAAGTCAGAAAGGTTACCGATTGTTTAAGCTGCTGAACTTGCTCCCTGTGGCAAGTAAATCCATTTAAATTTCGTGGACGATGCTTATCAGCCCACAAAAGTCTAATCTTCTCAACAACAAGTGCCTTCTGAATGAAACTTGATTCAGATTCATCATTTTTTTTGTTGTTCGACGTTCTTGATTTCCGACATGCCTTCCCTGTCATACATGGAAGCCACGCATCATTTTGCACCTTGCTGGATGTGAATTTCATGACGCCTCCAACTAGTTTCCCAGTGATTTCACTAAACTTTCCACTCTCCCCACTTAATCTGCCATTGCTATATGGGCTACTCAAAGTGGTGGTGCTGCTTATCTGGTAGTGGCGACCAGTAGCATAACTGGATTTTGTAGTTGTGCGTGAAACACCTGTCCGAGCTGAAACAAATTGTGATGGCTGGCCCAAATTACTTTGAGTAATAGTGCCATCATTCTCAGCATGGGCATTTGAGTCAGAGGTAAATGACTGGTCAATATTGTTATGCTTTGTTGATCTTTTCTCAAGTGGAGCCCTGCAATCACGGGAGAAGAAGATATCACCTGTAGGTATCGACTCTGTGCTCGTAAAAGCATACTCATTATATCTGGAATTAGGTAACTTGCCATTTGCAATCAACTCATTGATCTCCTGGGAACAATTTTCTGCATGTGAATCTTCTTCAATATTATCAGCAACTTCTCTTTCTGGATGTGTTGAGACCGGGTTACTGCCAGGAAATGCAGGAGCTCTAGCAGGATGTTCCTTCTCTTGTGGCCGTAGTTTCGGTGTAGAAATTGAACGATTGCGGGAAAACCTTGCCTTAATTGATGATCTACTAAAGCTTTCCATAGAAGAACGGAATCTGGGAGGCGTCCGGCTGCTCTTCTTACGTGATTCATTCTTCACAGCCGCAAATGGAGAAGGATGGCGCCTTTGTTCTGTGACCCTCGGAGGAGTACGACTGTATCTCAAGTTTGAAGTTTTCTCAGCATGATAATCTCTTGTGGGGTTAGGAGATATGTTTTGCCTCCTAGTACCAACTTGGTCATTCCTACCACGATCTTTAGGAAGACGACTCCTCTCTGATGTCAATGCTCCATCGTTCCAAGGGCTTTCATGCCACTCAGTTTCTGTGTCTGAAGGTTCATAGCCACTTTTGTGCTTTGTGGAAGCATCATTGCGAGAATGCCTATTATGCCCTGAGTTGCTCTGTGCAGATAGCATACTTGATTACTTGAAATCCCTGTGATTCACAAAATATGCAATATTGTAATGTCAAGAAAATAAAAGGTATAACCAAATTCAAGTTCAAAATGTTGGCATAGTTAAATTAGTAAGGAAAACAAGATTCATCATGGACTACGCTTCTAGAAGTATAAGATCCAAATTCACCTTTCAGTTCATTTCAGATGAATGATAAAACTATTGAATAATTATTTTCTTTTAATTGCAAAATGATTAAAATCTGAATTATGAAATATAACATACTTGTTGTAAACCTTACCCATAAGTTTCATGGTATTCATGAATAATACATAAGCTGCAACAGGTGGCCCTTTTATGTGATCAATCAAACAAATTAGATGTTCAAGAGAAAATCAGGATGGAAAGAAAGGAATAAAACCAGCAAATCATCATGACAATTTATGTGAACTAGCTGAAGATTCTGAAACTTTGTGTGTAGAACAAGAAACAGGCTCCCATATAGGGAAACTACTCCAGATTTCAAATGAGACATGCCCAAACAATCTACATGCAAAAACAGAGATGGTGGGATTTAACTGTGCTATTCACCAAGGAGGGTGTCTTACTAAAAGCAAGAATTATGCTTATAGTTTGTGTCCGGATTTGAAGTAAATGATCTACTACTTTCTAAGTTCGGATAGCATGTTAATGTATATGCATATGTTACGGTTTTTATGGATGATGGATTAGCATGTATCTTAGTTATTGTGACCAAAATGTACAGAACATAAAGTATATAGAATCAAAATCAAAGCATCATTCCTTTCTATTCTTAAGATCAAAACTCAGGCTAAGGAAACATGTGGTGCAAATCTTCATCAATTCTATAAATCAAAGATGAACCAGAAAAGTAGTTACCTCAAGGAAAAAGAATATGGCATTCTTCAAACACCCACAGTTGCAGAGCCAAATGAAGGGCAAAAGCAAGAGTTATAGGGAGACAGCTAAGAAGGAAGACAAGAAAAAACACATCCTTACTGTTCGCCTGTTGGCATTCTTGTCCTCTTCTAGAAGAAACCAAAGGAGAGAGGAAGAAGCCATTCTTCCCCATTACCTAGGTCACTTATTCCAAAGATCGTCATATATTCCTAGGAACATAAAACATATATTTAAAGGAGACAGCTTATGTAGGATCTACCAGCTGTAAAATATTGTGCTATGACTTCCTAACACTGATCTATTCTTTCTCACCATTTTATCATTCTGTGAACCTTACAAAACTTCGGTAAGGAAAGTTCAAGATGCCTACTAAATTGTCAGAGAGTTTTTATTTGTTTACGATTTGTCTGTTGCTTGGATATGGGCCCATTACTGATTTACGCGTGACCTAAGATCACATCGTGTATGCAGGATAAAAAATTGTCAGATCATCACCACATTCACTTGTCAGATCAAACAAAGATGAACAGGTATCCATCACTCCCCTTCTTTTAATACTCCATTTGACACAAAAAAGGCATTGTTTATGACTTACAAGAAAGATATACATCGACCAAATATTCTAAACTAGAGTATCCAAGTACTCGATCACTGTTGTATAATTTACATGGGGATACAGTTGAGTTCCTTCAATTGACAAGTCAAATTCAAAATATGTGTGGTCACCCTTAACAAATGCTGAATATATGAAAATTAGATCCATCTTCAAGGGAAATGGAGCATCTGCAATGAGGAGAAAGAAAGAATGAGAGTACACGATTTATGCATGAAACAAACGTCTTTCAGAAAATGATTTACAAATTGCAACTAGGAAAAGAGATGTTTCACAGTTTCTTCATATTTTCATCAACTATGTTCTTCGTAGACATAGCAGCAAACTTCTACAGTTCTACTCCATGATCAAATATACTTGCAGCTAAAGGTGAAGGTATAAAAAACTGAAAAAGATTGACTAAATTATAAAGTATCAGTAAATCACAGATCAGAAAACAACATCGGTAACTTCATCAAACTTGAAATACATCAAATTTTACGACAGTATCTTAAAGCTTAAATTGAAAAGGAATTGATTAAATTTCAAGAAAATACACTGGACAACAGGGCTTTAACAAAAGCAACACAAATATAATTACCACCTAATCTTTAGCAGTTTCAACTTACCATGGATTTCTTTAAGAAGTTGCTCTTCTGTTACATATAATCTTTTCAGGGATTTCTTGATTTTTGTCTCCCAGAGGTCAGCCAATTCATTCATTGAGCAGACGTTTCCTGGAGGCCTCAGATATAACGTCTTGTTTAATGTCCTGGGATCCTCTATGGTGCATATTGTAAATTTAGCAACATCATTCTCTTTAACAAAAACAACTGCAAAGAAATGTTCTTCCCTGAGGTAACGAAATATACATGTAGAATAATCTTTTATACTTTTGGATAAATTCAGATATAAGACTAAAAGAATAGAGAAGCATTACTATCAGACCTTTAGTATTTCCTTCACCGAATATTTTGATTTTATCTCTAGGAGGAGCATCTAGGCCAGGTTGCACCAGTGAAGGAAGCAAATAGCGCATAAAGAAGTTGCAGCATATGTAGGTATGAGGAATGCCTTCACTCTCTATTGAATGACGGATTTCAATTTTCTTCTCATAGAAGCCATAATCCATGTCACAAATTTGAACCTTTGTTGGATCTGCTCCAAATTCTGCTGGAATAAATCTCTGCATGAAATCACTGCAAAGTCAGAAGCAACGCCTCATGTTGCCTAACACAACAACGGCTATCATAAATTTTCTGGTGGACAAAGTCAGAAAAAGGTTATGAAAATCCAAAATGACCATCCTAAAACATGTCATCAGAAACTACTTCCTCCTTTTCAAAACGTGCTCCCTCCATTTCAAAATGTAGGGTGTAGTAAGATTTAAAATAGCAAAGACTGCAAACTTGGACCATGAATTACTCAGAACATATGTATTTTTAGTGCACAAAAGATACATCAATATATTTTTATTTCATTTGTCCTTAGTAAGACATTGGTTTTGTAGTGACCAATAATATATTATAAGAAAAACTAATGGTCAAAGTATATCCTAAAAGACTTTCTCAAATCTTAATACACCTTATAAAAAGAAACAGAGGGAGTAGGCTGTTTTAGTTTTGTTCTAACTCAAATTTCTCTAGCTTTGACCAAGTTTCACCAACATCTGCAACATCCAATTAGTTTCACCAAATTCCATGAAATGTCTTAATAGTGCATTTATTTGGTACTTTAGATGTTAATATATTTTTCTATAAAACTGGTCAGAGTTAGAGAAGTTTGGCTTAGAACAAAATTAAAATGGCCTACATTTTGAAATGGAGAGACGAGGAGTAACACAAAACAAGCTATATGACCATTGACCACAAAGACCTATAAAGTAACACCACCTAGGGAGTCTAAGTTTTGTAGGTAACATGCCTAGAGCTAGCCATGGATAAGGTCAGAACACAGACCTGATGAGGCAAACAAATGAGGGGCAACTTTTTCCCAAAAAAATAAAATAAAAAAAGTCTTTATCTAGTCTCTTATCCATCTCACTATAGCCCATATGCTCCTGATTATTTTCCTTGCCAGTTTGTCTACATTTTAATCAGACAACCATAGAGCCGAAATCGATTTCTTGCTTTCATTAAAACTTGTTCCATCTACTTGGGTGAATGTTCCCATTTCGAAATCATTTGCTTTCAACGATGAACCTTCTGATATGTCATGACAGTAGACTCACGAAAAAGTAGTACGTTAATCAAGTTAAGTGGAAATGTATTGTGGCTTGCCAGCTGAGTAGCTCACCTTCACGCATCCAGCTTCCTTTATAGCCCGAATCAGGGGCTTCTGCTCGAGCACCTGCTTCGTGGGCACCGCGCAGATGACAACGTCCACCTGACGCACCGCCTCGAGCAGGCTCGAGTAATCTTCCAGTGACCCCTAGGCCACAACGAACCGAAGCCCTTTAGGCTTTAGCTAATTGAACCACGCTCTAGTGGAACTGGAGATTAGGGGTGCCGCGCATTTACCTGGAGCAGAGTGGAGCCGGCGGCTACGAGCGGCTCGAGCAAGGGGGAGTCGGGGCGTGCGAAGTGGTGGGGCCGGACGAGCGCGAACGTGGGGTGGCCCGCGGCGAGGCTGGCCCGAGCGATGCTTCCACCGAGGCGGCCGGTGGCGCCGACCACCAGGACCCGGCTCCTCGTCCACCACCGCCTCCTTGACATCACCGTCGCCGCCCGCTCCGTTCGATGAGATCCCACGGCGCGATTGGCAACGGCTGGCAAAGTGGCAACTGGCAAGGGACTCCGGAAAGCTGCGGCCGTTTGAGTTTTGACCGAGTGGTGTGGTTGTCTCACGATCAAGTACAATCATGAACCATTGGTTCAACACCTCTCGCTGATCGGACGGCTTGGAGCGAAGTTTTGGGGCGAGTGTTTCTGGTGGTGACTGAATGCTTAGCCAGGGTATTGATTATGATACACCGTTTAACACATGGCTTTTTGAAGAAAAAATGTACTCCCAAGTAATTTGTTTTATGTGAATTTTGATCAATCACTTGTCACCCAACTGCTCAATCGCTCCATGGGAATCACCGTAAGAATTTACTAGTGTTATACTACAAGACATGCTACACTGGCACACGGCCACCAAATTGTATTCTTTGGCTAGTGTATGTACGCTAAGCCCCTGACGCCTGATCGATCAGACGGTCTGGAGGTTGGGCTCGGCCGGCTTGGCGCGGGCGTCGAGGGCCGCGAGCCACTCGAGCAGCGCCCGGTTGGCCTGCTCCGGCGCCTCGTCGTGCGGGCAGTGGCCAGCCTGCAGGTGCACGACGGCGGTGTCAGCGTAGAACTGCTGAATCCGCGCGGCCTTGGTCGGGCCGACCCACGGGTCCAGGTCCCCCCACAGCAGCAGCAGCGGGCACGACAGCTTCCCCAGCAGCCGGTCCAGCGTGTACCGGCTCTGGTTCGACATGAACCGCGACATCAGCCTGTAGTACACCTCGCCGGCGTTGGGGTCCGCCGCCGGCGCCGTGATGGAGCCGACCAGGTAGTCATCGACGTTGCTGGAGTCTATGTACACCTGCAGGTTTTCGCAGCAGCAACAAGACAAGACAGACGACGATCTCAGCTGATGAACTTGGTATGCCATGGCATGGCAGCAGCCGATGCGATTAGAATTTAGACATCAAGTTGAGTGAACGTTACGCTTTTCAAGACTTTCTCGACCCTGGCGGGCTGCTTGGACTGCCAGAAGAGGAAACCCAGCACCACCCGCTGGAAGGCCTCCTTGAGCGGCTTCACGATGAACCTGGACAGCGGGCTGCCCTCCTCCTCCTCCTCCTCGGCCGGCGCGGCGGCCGGCTTGTTGGGGTCGCCGAACTGTCCGGCGGAGTTGAGCAGCACGACGCCCCGGACCAGCTCCGGCACCTCGGTCGCCGTGAACAGTGTCGTGAAGCCTCCCAAGCTGGTATATATATGATCGTAGTGTTGATCGAATGTTTGTTTCATCAGGCATGTACCGTCTGAATTCTGAAGCTCAAATGCCATGTATCAGTTGATTGCTGCGTACCTGTTGCCTACAAGGACGGCAGGCTCCTTGACGATCTCCCGGAGGAAGTCGGAGACCTGCTCCATCCAGATGGTGGCCTCGTAGTCCACCAGCGCCTTCTCGCTCCAGCCGAACCCCAGCAGGTCTATCGCGTACACCTTGTACCTCTTGGCCAGCTCAGGGATGTTGTACCTGGATTGATCCACAGTCACAGCACATCAATATTCAGTACCATGCGTTGTCGATCTCTGTCTCTTATCGCGCAGTGTCGCTGCTGGCAGCTCCAATGCATTACATAGCATTCAGAACTTCAGATATCCAAACTTGTCTCGGTGCGAGCCCCGTAATAACCAACCTCCAGTGGAAGGCAGAAGCGCCAAAGCCGTGGATGAGCACGATGGGCTGCCCGGCGCCTTGCTCGACGTAGTGTATCCGGCGACCCCTCCACGTCCAGAAGTTGTACCCGTCCGCTTTGAACGGCAAAACCTCCAGCCCTGCACGCACGACAGGAGAAACGGAGCAGCTGACGATGCCGAGAGCAGACAGAATTTGAGAACCGCACAGCTCAGACTTGAGAGCTCCTTCCTGAGCAGATACCTTGAGCAGAGCCGTTGGCCGAGGCTGAAGAAGTTGCCATCGAGCAGGAGACGGCGAGCGCGATCCCGGCCTTGGTCACCAGCTCCCTCCTCTGCATCATCAAGAACCTGCCCCCTGCCAATGGCCCCGGCCACAAGGATCAGCCAATACAATCGCTTAGAGTTAGTGTGTCACGGACCTGGCAGAGACGAGGGCGCCCACCGTTCAGGCCGACCTGCGGGGAACCCGCGCCGCGGCAGCGGCCGGAGCCGGCCGTCCGGAGGGCGGCCACGGACGCGACGGACATCGGGTAGGCAGAGCTTCCGGAGAGCGGCGGAAACGCTGGAACAGAGGACTGGGCCAGGGGGACGGGAATGAAGGCTCGTTTTTTTTTTCTTGGTGTGTGTATAGGTTTGGGTTGGGGGGTCGTGTGGTGCACCGTGGCGCGGCGCGCGATCGGGTGCCGTGGCCGCGCCTGGGCCAAAAGAGTTTGCGAGGGAGGCGACGCGCCAACGGCAGGTGCGGCCGTGCGGCTCGGCCGAGGTTTCTTTGCCTGGGGTGGGCTGGCTGATGGATCCGCGCTGCCGCGAAATATCTACCGGTCTGCTGGCGCCTTGCGTGTGAGAAAGTGAGAATCGAAACTGGGCTTGCTCGCCGGCCGCGGCTGGGCCACGCGTGGTTTGAGAGGCCTGCAGATGAACGGAGCGGGCCCATTCCAATCTTGAGCCGCGCCACTGCCAGGCACAGAAAAATTCCACGTTATCTTCCAGGTTATGTGAACTTTTTCCTCGAACAAAAGACGGAAAAATGTGAATAGCCCGCGATTTCGCTGAGCACGGACACGAAGAATACGAGAAACGAACAGGAATTGCAGAAATAAACTAGGGAGTAGGTGATGATTTTTTTCAGCAAGTTTCTTGAGACGAGCGACGCTCTGCTCTGCTCTCTGCACAGAATTTACAATCTTTCGAGACCTTGAATATTTTCTTTGCTACTACGCGATTAAAAAAACAGCACCAAATCTACAGTAACTCTGGTAAAAACGACGACGCGTGCTATTCGGTACTGCGCCACTACTGCACGTGTGGGCTCGCTGCAAACACGCACGATTCAGCTCTGAAGAACAGTGACAACAGTACCGCTGCTACTGCTCCTCCTCATGGCCGTTGAGAATCTCTAGGCGCCGGCCGAGCTCGTGAATGGCACCGGGGCCTCGCGCTCGCTTGAAAAAGAGTGGACTCGGCGCGAACCGCGAAGCACTAGTTTATGCATCGCCACGCATGGACCAGAAGGGAAGAGCGCACAGTATTTCCGGATGAGTGAGCTGAGCTCCACAGCTCCACTTGAGAAACCACTACCAACTTCGCAGCAGGGAGGATCAGCACCGAGACGAGCATACGGTGTTTCTGGCCGGTCCAAGCACTGACAAATGGGTCCAGATGCATATTGGCCCACTTATTAGAGTTAAGTGATGGCGGGAAATAAGTAATAAACAGTATAAAACTATAAATTCCCTCCAAGTAAAAAACGTCGAGGCATAAATAAATAAACTATATGAAAGACTGAGACCACTTTGTGACTTTGCGACAAATAAGAGACCTTTTGCGTGTGGTGCTCATATGAAACTACTAGTACTTACAGTAAACAACATGTTGAGAGGCATCGATCAAAGTGTGAGTGAGATTAAACTATGGCCTACTTGGCTGTCAGCGTCGGCCTAAAGAGGGACCAAAGGTGGTCATCGTGGCGAAGGAACTTGAAATACTCTGAAATCAAACGTCAGGGGGACCAACGGTCCTCACTTGACGAGGTCTGCCCAAATACTAGACTAGATTTAACCCCTTGATTTGATTAGCGTCCCTAGATTAGGTGAACCATCCCGTCTCTGGCAGCTGCTGACTGGGCCACCACGTCACGAGTGAGGATGAGGTGTCGTGTCTAGTCAGCGGCGCATGCTTGGTGCTTTCGTGCCCATCGACAAAAAAAAAATCCCATGCATACAGTATGCACCATGTAGTCGTGCATACCGTCGTCACCGGATGGCTGCCGCGTGAGCGTTGTCTGCATCCGACGGTAGGTGTTTTCAGCAGTTGACCGCATGGGAGCCGAGTGAGCCGAAGCACAGGTAAGGAGAGGATGGCAGACGTCGATTCCCCTTATGTGGACATGTGGCGGTTGATGGGAGCATGTATGCACGGAAGCTAAGCGCATGTTCAATGCATAGAATTTTTCCCCCGTCGACAGGTGCAACTGCAAACTGCAAAGCTACACGAAGAACTCTCTTTTTCCCTCAAAAAAGATGTAATTTCATGAATCGACACCGGGTAGTGTTGGATATAATATGGGCTTGGCCCATATAATATTTAATAAATCAAATAAAACTCTATGGTGCGTTATATTAAGTGTTGTATGGTTTAATACCATACGAGATTTTGACTGAATGTTGACTCAGCTTATATGGTTGGAAATTATTCATCTAAATTGAGAAGCTGAGAAAAGGATAAAGGCGTGCCACGCGCGCGCCGCCGCCACCGCCGACCGGGCCGTGGGCGCGGGCCGAGGCGGGCTGGCGGCGAGCGCGCGCGGGCGTGGCCAGTCTTTTGCCACTTAATCCATATAATCACGGGAGTTACTCCTTTGATTGTGGAGGTGTACTGACTGCGTCAGTTACCGTTCCCGGAGATTCTTCGCTGCCTTCGTCTCCTTCCCCGGTCGCAGCCATATATCCTGTCTCTCCCGTCAGTCCAGATCCCGTCTTCCGCAACAGTTCCCGAGAGAAGCACAGATCAACAGCCTTCTAGCGGGCGGACGAGGCCAGTTTTTTGCCACTTAATCCATGTAATCACGGGAGTTACTCCTTTGATTGTGGAAGCGTACTGACTGCGTCAGTTACCGTCCCTTCCACTTCCGCTTCCCGTCTCCGGAGATTCTTCGTTGCCTTCGTCTCCTTCCCCGGTCGCAGCTGTGGCAGAACCGCCTAATCTAATGCCTCGCAGGAGTGCTTGTCTTCCATTAGACACTAAGCACTCAAGGGAGAACACTAAATTACTCGGTTCCGTCGGGCACACCCCAGGAAAGAACCCAAAAATCCATATTT